ATTTAAAGGAATCTTCGCGGAAAAATCATGATTCTATTTCAGCCATAAATCACTGGCTTGAGACTCATTATCCACGATAAGAATGAAAAGAACAGAAATATTGCTTTTGTTTTGGTAAAAAAAATTCGAAAAATCGAAAGGGCTGCTACGCGTTCAAAGTGCCCACGGACGTCTTTCACAAATGCTGGCGACGGGGATGCTTCCACTTGGTTCTTGGAGTGCCTTCACTAGAAGCTCTTTCTGGCCTTCTGCTTTATTGCATTCACATCTTACACTTCTACTCCATCCTATTCTATCGATCGATTTGTCTCTACTCTCCGAAATCGCGCGCTTTAACCCGATTCTTTCATTGCGTCGCCTGATACGTAGCCGGCCAAATTCCATGCCTCGCCTTTGGCTCCGCCTTACCTTCGATTGTCCATAGAGTGTAGTTTTTGTACGTTTGTTTCTCTTCGGAAACCGAATCTTCATGCGTGAAACTTTGTGTGCTATTTCCAGTGATCACAACTGACACATTCATGTTAGAAAGAATGCAAGAATTTTCCGCGCAAGATTCCTTTAAGAACCTTTAGGATTTGGAGCGAAACAAAATGTTTGAACGCGAGGTTAGGGTGCAATAGAGGGGAAATAATAAAAGGCACACCCACTCAAAGAAAGGGGAAGGAAAGGAAGGAGGTAAAAACATATTGTAAATGCAGTCACGTGGAATGAAGAGACGTACAAAAATGATGAGAGAGTGCGATGACGCTCCCTGTTATGTTGTCGAGCCTTGGCATTATTCTTAATATCTTGAGTCCTCTTCACCAACCACCCGGATCTACGCAAGTATTTCAAGGGCGCCGAAAACTTCACCGCTGATGACGTTCAAAAAAGCGACAGGTAACAGTGGAAGTAAGTTGAGACGTCCAATAAGGATTTATACGCTATTTTTCAGATTCGAGAAACTCGGCACTGGTTTGCTTTTATCGGTCCATCTCCTTGCCAACACTTACGACAACGTAATTCTTGAAACCATACATTTTTCCACAGCCTTCTATGAAAAAAGTTGAAAGCATTCCAGGAGATGGTATTCCGCGCATTCTGTCGTGAAACCATCGACAGGCACGTTGGCCGAGACCTCGATCCCGCTTTGTGGAAGGTTTGCTGCTTAGAATCACGAAATAAGATGTGGAGTACTAATTAGCCGTTCATGGATAGATAGGCGTGAGCGCCATCTTAACGATCTTCACCCTACCCCGCTCCCTGAGGGGCTCTAAGCAGCTGAGTTTGGGGGTCTCTTACCATGATCATTTCATTGTCATTATTTATCCTGATCACCTGACACACTCCCAAACTCCGCCCTGAAATCTAATCCTTTCAAAAATGTCGTCGCGGGGGGGGGGGTGGGGAGTGATATATGCCAAGGTAGATAAAGAAAGCAGGTTTCGCGTAATCCCACCCACTGAAGCACACCAAGAATTCCCACGTCCGTTATACAACCTGCAGCGTGATTCGATTAAGGAGAACTGAATGTGGAAATTGTGCCCATCCCCATCGCTGTTCCTTATTTGTGATCGGAAAGAGCAATTGCACCGTTTTGCGGGTTCATGGCGGTTTTACATGGCTATTTCTTTGGTGTTCCTCTTAACAATCAGCTTCTGTTTCATCCCCAGCACGCGACCAATTTATCCCTCCATCTGTCTTTGAACATTCTCACACAAAAGGACTGGTGCCTGGGCAGATCAGATCCAGAACTTCATATATATCGGTACATGGAATAAAAACCGTGATATAAACCGTTACTTGCCGCTACATTATCTTTACCCTTGAACACCCTTATCCGCTGAACACTAATCGTAAGGGAGGGCTTGCTTTTGTTTGTTAACTGCTGTGTTTGGCCGCACTACCTTGCAAATGTTTCACAGAAATGCTGGATTGTGAACAAAACGTTTGATCTAGACGGGACTCGAACCCGCAACTCTTGGCTGTAACTAACTTGTAGCGCACTTGCCCGGTAAGCAAGCGGTGCGGGTTCGAGTCTCGTCTGGGACGAAAGTTTTGTTCACAACCTTGTGGAAGCTAAGGGAAGAGCATATAGTACTGAGCCTTCCGACCAAGATTGTCAATAGCTTTATTTGGCCGACGTTTCGGTGCTTTCACCTTCTTCAGAGCCTGGAAAAGTCGAAAGCTATTTAGGAAACTACCCGTCCAAACACTATTTCAACCTACAAGATTCATTCAACAGGGAGTAAATTACTAAAACGATGTCATGGAGGGAGATGAGAACGAACCTTCAGAGATGCTGGCCAAAGAGTTCCACCTGCCGGGTGCGGGTTTTGGCTCGTCCGGACTGGCACGCGGCGAGTTGCGCGGCGGCTCGGTTCCGCGGGTTCTGCTGTGGAATTCAACGTGCCAAAGCGTGTGCAGATTGCGGATGATGACATCCCCCGAATGGTGTCTGCGTTTTTTGAAAAACTGTTATTCGGCGCGCGGGAGTTGTCAAGTAGCGGTGTCGTGAGGAGATTTCAGAGAGAGGACCTACACAGAAATGGCACTACTGCCATGAAAGCCGATAAGAAAAAAATTTGGTACTTATGTTGAGATAGTTATTTGTGTCACTACATATGTTTTGCCGATCGAGGCGCTCATGTCCTTAAGAGGAACATTCAAAACAAAACAACAAAACAGGGCCGATGGTAGGTGGCATTGAACAAGCCCAAGAAAAGAAGGAACATCAGTGAGCACAAATCACCTTCCCTGCCAGTTCCTTCTCATCTCTTCTTACTGTTACCATCACCGTTGTCCTCAAGGCATACAAATGTAATTCAAATCGCAGAACCTTGCAATTTTACCTGGAATTCACAAGTTTTGTCGTGTCGAAATCCCACGAAAGCATCGAATTGCAGCGACAGCCCGTCCCCGCAACTTGTCGCGTTGCTAAACCCGGACGAGGCCAAAAGTCCGTCGTCCACCTGCCACCCCGAGCTGGTAGTAACGTGGCTTAAATAGGTAAAGCCTTAGGGTCATTTGCTTTAGGGACCTCCGGAGGGTTGATCATGTAGATCAAATCACTCCAAAAGACCCCTCGAGGCTAGGCGCGCCGCTGAACCCCCTGAACCCTTATTATTGATTACTATGCAGTAGCCCGACCCCCGTCAGGAAGACCCCGCGGGGGATTGATCATGTAGGTCAAAAGCCACACAAGGCCGCAAAGGGTGCCAGCTCTGTAGTCACCGCAACACACTCTTCCCTCCTATTGATCCTAGGGGTCTTGGCGTTGATCCAGAAGGCCTCCAAGGTTCGCCGCGCCGCAATGTCGGACTCGCGCAACAATATCTGCTACCCAATCACTCGCTACCTACGGCGAGTGATTAGATAGTCGGTGGGCGTACCCCGCCAACC